GAAAGAGTCTGTTGGGAGGGTTTCATCAAGATAAAACTGTTCGTGGGCATTTTCTGTTGGCATACCTGAGATTTACTGACTGTCCCATTATCTCCAAGGGGTATAAACACGGTAGAGCAAGCACGCGCTTTACTTTAGGAGACTTAAGGTGTAAGGGGCCTTTCTGATCCTCTTACCGGAGAGCAGAATGTTCGAGAATTTAAGAAGGCGGCTATTTCAGAGACCTATTTTTGCAGAGCGTCCAGAGTTTCATTAGTTGGAACTGAGGAGAATGCGGCATGCGATAAGGAAGAGTTATGAAATCTCTTAAAAACCTGAAATATATTTCAGATAGATACACATTTTTGTGCTGGTCTAATAAAGAATTGTTAATAGTGGCGGCTAAGTTACCTGCCTCAACAGATAAATTAAACATTACTGGGCCTGTTGTCGCATTAATTATTTGTGTGCTTATAAAAAGCTAAAGAATATTTGAAAATAGCTTGTCCCCATCAAATGTTAAGCTCGTCACCCTGTTACACTGTTTCTATCACTCATCTTCTTTATTCATTTTAAAAACATCAATCTCTACCTCCTGAGCAAATGAGCACAGATCATGAAATTTGATTGTAAATTCTGTGCCCTTTGACACACCTGTCTGGCCTGTGATGACTTCCTGTGACGCCTGTGGGGCCAGTGGATGCTCTCCCCCTCCCTTGCCTGCTGTGGGCCAGGCTCTGTGTTTATTTGCAGCATCTCCGTGGTCCTCATGGCAGCATTAGGAGAGGCATGTCATCATCCCTGTGTTGCTGGTGAGGAAACGAGGCTCCAGAAGGGTGCATGACTTGCCCGAGGTTCCTGAGCCAGGGAAGCAGGACTGGGCCCAGAGCTCTCAGAATGCCAAAGCTCTTTGCAGTACATCAAAGGAGCATCTTCTATTAAGAGCAGGCGGTATTGAGAAAGAGAATGCGCCCATGTTTTTCTCAGGCAAAATATGGTGTGAAAATATTTTCAGGCATTTCTATCAGCAATTATAAGAAAATATTTTGAAAGCCCTCGCGTATCCAAGCAGCCCTTGATAAAGCATTTGCATAAGCTACAGTGATTGTGAAGTTTGGTTTGGTGCCAAGAATACTTATGGAAAACAGACTTATTTTTGTCAAAAATACTTCTCAGCTTAATTGTAGACGGCTAAGCAAAGGAGTAACTAGGACCCACCATCCCTGTGGGGGCGTGCCGTTGGGGAGGGCGTTGGGGCCCTGCTCTGGACTTTGGGGAGCCCGTCATAGAATGCCAGTGGTTGTGTGGGTGGTTTCCCTTCGGTGTGTTCATGATTCTTTGTCTTCTTCTCTAGGAAAGTAAGCCAGAGCAGTGCCTGGCAGGAAAGAGCCACAGCACTGGGGAGCAGCCGTCACAGCTGGGCATGGCCACCAGGTACAGTGCCAAGTCACCTTGGGGTGTTGCGGCTCCTTTCCGTGTCTAGAGTCAAGGCACAGATGCTGATAGGGTTCACCGAGTAGCCCAGGCCTTGGACCCGGACGGACCTGGGTTGCAGACCTGGCTCTGTCCTTTACTCGATGACCTAGAGCAATTTACTCAAATTGTTGTTCCCAAGAATCAGGTGGAAGCGCTTGCTCCTTAGATACCGAATTTCCAAAGTAAATGTGAGGCGTGCATGAGATGATGTAACGAGCACCCCTCGTGCTCTTGGCATGTGCTAGCCCTCAGTTTACAGAAGGTGGTAGCAGTGGTGGTAAATGATGATGATGAGGTTGAACAGCAGCGTTAACAGTGGCATGAAAACAAGTTGCCCTTCTGAGGGAGCTTGCCTTTCTCTATAGTTTAAACACTTACCAGGACTTAACACTGATACGTTTCTAAGTATTGATAGGGATTCACGTTAACTTGTTACAGGAGACCTTAGATTTTGATAATACAGATCCATATGAGTCATGTTTTGTCTTCAGGGTAACCTACTTGTACGGGATTTGAGGGTAACTACTGTGAGGGCCATGCCATCACCCACTAATTCGACGGGGTTATTGCATATTGATGCTGAGTGATCCGAGCTAGTATAACACCTTTTACATATGACCTCACCCTTCTGGTATTCCTGTGCTTGAGAAACCCAGGGTAGCGTTTCTTATTTAGCAGGCAGAAAATGCTAACATGTTCACTGAGGGCAAGATGCATATCTCTATCCTTTTTTTTTTTTTTTTTTTTTTAAATTTTATTTATTTATTTATTTATGGCTGTGTTGGGTCTTCGTTTCTGCGCGAGGGCTTTCTCTAGCTGCGGCGAGCGGGGGCCACTCTTCATCACGGTGCGCGGGCCTCTCACTATCCCGGCCTCTCTGGTTGCGGAGCACAGCCTCCAGACGCGCAGGCTCAGTAGTTGTGGCTCACGGGCCCAGTTGCTCCGCGGCATGTGGGATCCTCCCAGACCGGGGCTCGAACCCGTGTCCCCTGCATTGGCAGGCAGATTCTCAACCACTGCGTCACCAGGGAAGCCCTCTATCCTCTTTATAGCTTAGAGGCCAAGCCAGTGGCTGACCCAGAGCAGGCATGTCTTAAATGTGCTATTACTGAACTGATGAGATTTTTCCAGTATATTGTTGTTTCATAGGGGAGGCGGGCTTAGATTTCAAGTCCTTGGATTCCTGGCCATAGCTCTGTATCTTAAACTATTTTATTTCTAGAACTCATTGTTGGAAATAGAAACTCATGTAGGTGTCACGTAGGAAACAGTCTGCTTTCTTTCTCGTCCTCTGTGGAGCAGAGCGTGCAGGACCTGATACAACTCTGCATGGCAGGGCCGGCTCTCGGCGGGGATGCTATCACAGGACACCCTTTCTGTTCCCCCTGCTGGTGTCCTGGCGCTGTTCCTTCCCGCCTGCCCCCCTGCCCGTCTGCCCTGGACGAGGGAGCAGAGTTGAAGAGCTTGTGTTTCCAATCTTCACTCTCCATCTCTGGCTCATTCTCTGGGGAGGGGCTTTCCAGCACGGTTATCTGGATACCTTCCCGACCTGGAATTTTGAGTGTACCTTGAGTGAGCTTGGAGGGGAGAAGGCAGGTGGAGCTTGGGCTAAAAATGCGCAGTCCTGAGGGGGTGTAGGAGGCCGCTAGGATAGAAGGCAGTGGGTTTTCGGTAAGTAGGTGTTTGAAGCAGCAGGGTGTGCACGGCAGACTTTGGAGTCAGGCAGATCCGGCTTGGAGTCCTGGCTTTGGGTAAACTCCTTTCCGTATCTGAGGGAAGGAACTAGTGTGCTGTCCGTTCCCAGAGCAGCCAGGGAGGGAGACACAAGCAAAGATGCCACCCTTCTGTCCTGAGCAGTTTAAACCAGCAGTTTGGCTGCACTGGAAATACCCTGCTCTCCTGGGGCTCTTTTTGAGACCCTCTGTGACCTGCAGTAATTTCCAAGCAGAAGAGGCAGCGTGAGCTGGGACTTTGTCACTCTTCTCTGTGATCTTTGGCGAATTCATCAGCCCCTCGGTGTTTCCTCCTTCATCTGTGAAATGGGCACAACACTGACCCCCACACCGCAGGTGTTGGCTCATCTAATCCTCACGGCAGCCTCATGAGAAAGGAGGCGCAGAACGTAAAACCCAACAAGGCCACATGGGCTGTGCCTGCGGTCAGGAGGGTGGGTGGCTCTGTGGTGGCCTGGAAGACACAGGCTCACCTTAACCGTGCAGTTGCAAGTGTTTAAAATTATGCTCCACAAGATGGGCCAAACACAGGATGTCCTCCAAGTCCGCCCTGCGATATGCCAGTCTGAGACCTGGGGAAGGCTGGCCAGGGGCTCGGAGAAGTTTAAGAGGGACAGAACACGACGGTGGCTGGTTCGGGCTGTGTGGCCTCCTCCCTTCCAGCCGCGTGACCGCTCCCAGAGGCCACCCGGTGGGCCGAGGGTGGAGGCGGCAGCAGGGCGCTCCTGCAGCTCTTCCTGAGCTGGAACATCGGCTGACACAGTCCATCTGAAGCGCTTTGGATTTTCTGAGTATCTGATATGATCCTATTCAGATGTTGACAGAAACGCTCTGCCCTCTTAGACAGAAAGAGTTTGACTGTTGGCCACTCTGAGTTAGTTAGTCAGGCTACATTTTTTTACGAAACCTGAAACACGAAGAATTGACTCTTGCGAAAAGGATTCGAGGCTCTGAAAAGTCTTCGTGTAAAGTCTCCTGAGCAGTGTACATCTTTTCATTTTTACCGGCATCCTAGTCCCCTAATTAGATTCATGCAGTTGACTGAAAAAAAGTGTCGGAGTGCTTTCCTAATTGACAGACTTGTGATTGACAGAACAGTCCCTGAAGTCTCATAATTGAGCAAACAGCTTGTCACCGTGCAAGTCATTAAAATACCATCAAAAACTGAACACTGACAAGTGTGAACTTCAACGTCGTTCACAGCTCCTTGGCTGAACACAGACACTCGAGTGAGATCAGCCCTTTTGTTTCGTTCCGTCGCTCCTTGCAGACGCCGCGAAGCCAGTGACATTAAGGACTGTTGCAGGAGTGGGGAAGGGGGTGGACAGGTCCACAGATGACCGTGCCCTCGCCCTAAGCCGGCACCGCCAGCTGAGGTGTACAGCTCCCATTGCAGTTTCCGTATCTGTGTTTTCCTTTCCGCCCTCCCTCAAACGTGGCATGCTGCACCGATGTAGGGGTTTTGGTTTTTGTTTTAAAGCAGCAGATGGAGATGAGAGCTCTTCTGCCTTGCTTCCGCATCCCACCAGCAGAGGCTTACATCAATCTGTTGCCACTGAGAGCTTTAGTTCACATTTGGATCTCATTTCCCACCAAACTGTTTGCGTGGAACGTAAACATTTTCCAATTCAATGAGGGGCCTGTAGCTTCATCTCCTGGGTTCCCATCCAGGCACTGGTCAGGCCGCTTGGCTCCAGGACCACGTGTACCCGTCTGTCTGAAAACCAGCCTCTAGGTCGTTGGTTGAAAAGGATCAGCGTTGTTTGTAGGATCGGCAGGGGTCGGAAGGGGAAGGGACTTTTGTGTCATTTTACAGATGAGCCACCGAGGCCCAGAGAGGAATCCTGTGGTTGTGAGGCCTTTCCTGGGACGCCTGTTTCCCGGTCCCTTTCTTTCTGTCTCGTACCTGCCGGCCTCCGGGATCTCGTGGTCGGTGGGATGCCGTTTGCTCCCCTGCACTTTAAGATGAGGAAATCTAGTCTGAAAGAAAATAGTCTGAGTAGGATAACACAGCCTGAAGTTCCTGGGGTTCAAACCCAGGCTTCTCAGGTCTCCACTCTACCTAGAACCGGCCCCCAGCGTCACAGGTGTAGATTCATTCATCCAGTTGTAGCTTAACCCCGCCGTGGACCAACCGGCGTTCTAGGCTACGTGCTCTTTCTCCTTGGACATAGTTACCTGTCCCCACGGCTCGTGCACCAGGGCTGTGTCCCCTTGATGGCCAAGTCTGTGACTCCAGCCCAGATTGTTCTGTGTAGCTCCTGGACCCCTCGTCCGGCTGCTCTCAGATGTCCTCTGCCTTCTTAGCATAGCACTTGTCCAGCTCTGTTGTGATTGTTCAGACAGAAAGCCCCGGGGAGCGCAGGGGCCAGGCTGCTTGCTCTGTCCTCCACGCCTGGCATGGTGCCTAGAGGCATCAGTGGCATGAGCTCCAGTCCATCAGCTTGCAGCCCACAGGCCGCCCCTCGTAGGGCCCCGGGAGCAGGGACCTGGGGAGGGGCGGCTCATTCTGGACGTGGAAGGAGCCAGTAGAAAGAACACAGAAGCGGGGTGCCGTGTAATGGGGTCTTCCCTCTTGTCTGCCCTAGTGCGGGGCAGTATCGGATTGTAGGAACTGCTTCTGGAACGAGCACATGGGGCAAGAAAGCAACAGGCTGCAGAGGAAATACCCAATCATTTCCTGGTAGAAGGGAGGGGAGGGCGAGGGGGCAGGAGTTCACTGAGATGCAAAGCTAAGGTGGAGCCCCCGTGTGCCTGTCTTGCATAAAGGGATGCGCTGAGCCAGAAGCTTGGCGGCTGGGGGCGGGGGCGGGGATGTGCATCCCAGGAGTCGGGCGGGGCCTGCTCTGGGGCTGCCTAGCTTTTTCCATTTAGCCTAAGAAACGTCTACGTAGCACTTTGTAGGGCGTTAACGGCATTTTCAAAGAAAATGGTCCCGGGAAGCAGGTCTAGTACTGCTGGGTTGGGGGACTATGCCATAGCAGGATTTGAATCCAGGGAACAGCTAATTGCTGACATGCCTTATCTGAGCTATTTAAAGAAAATGAGCCTGCTTCCCACCCGCACCTCCCAGCCCTGACCACGTGGAGAAGTCCAGAAGCGCTCGGAGCGCTGGATTCTGTGCAGGTGAATAAGGTACGGCTCTTGCTCCTGGGGCAGCCTGCTTAGGGGTCCAGGGGAGCATCGGGGGGCCGTTCTTGGCTCCGCCGGCACCTGTTCTTAAGGCCTAGAGTGTCCTCGTTACCTGGGATTGTGCGTTTGGAGTGGTGTGTACCGGGAACTGATCAGCTTGGACGTGCAGAAAATTTGGGCTCCTGTGCTTGGCCAGCGGCCTGGGACAGGGCAAGAGAGAGAATGTGAGCATCCTCCAAGGCCAGGAGGGAGCTTAAGCCTGCTGGTCAGGACGGGAGCCTCTTGGTTTAAAGCAGAGTGATGATGACAGGGATGTGAATGAGGAGAGGCAGTCCCGGATGAATAACGCAGGAGCCGCATGGATGGCGTTAGTGACGGCGTCTGGTCAGTGACCACCCAGAGACAGCACCGGGAGACACCCGATGGGCTCCGTCATCGAGTCCGGCCTGATGATTTTTTTTTTTTTTTTTTTTTTCGGTATTCGGGCCTCTCACTGCTGTGGCCTCTCCCGTTGCGGAGCACAGGCTCCGAATACGCAGGCTCAGCGGCCATGGCTCATGGGCCCAGCCGCTCCGCGGCATGTGGGATCTTCCCGGACCGGGGCACGAACCCGTGTCCCCCGCATCAGCAGGCGGACCCTCAACCACTGCGCCACCAGGGAAGCCCCGGCCTGATGCATTTTTAATGGCTACCCAGATGTGCTTCCTAATTGGCAGTTACATCACTGTGTGTTCCAGAATAAAGCATGAGTCATCCTCCAGTGAGGAGGAACACGCGTCCGCCAGGCTGCCCAGCACGAGCCGCGCCCCCCTGCTGTCCAGCGTTAGCTACAAGAAGACCCTGCGCCTCACGTCAGAGCAGCTGGTGAGTGTCACTGTCCTCCCCCTCCACCACACTGCGGGCACTGGCCCAGCCACGGCCACCTGGACTCAGTGGGTTCAATGATCCGGGCGTCCCTCTCGTGCTCTGACTCCGGCTTCAGCTCTGGCACCTTCTCTATCCAACTGCCTGCCGCCCCCCTGCGACCTCACATCCCCCTTTTGGTGCCTCCGGTTTGTGCCCCACGTCAGCTCCTGTCCAGGCTGGCTCCAAAGCATCACTGCCCCTGTGCCGGCCCTGCCGCTGCCCTGGAGGCTCCTGTCCGCAAGTGTTGGCGGAGGGCGGCCTGAAGGCCTGAATTTATCCTGAGCTGTGAATGCCTGAGAGCCCAAATCTCGCAGGGCTGTTTCCACTTTTCCAGAGATGTTTGTTAAGTCAACCGCATCTCCTGAATTGGGGGGAAAAGGAGGGCTTGTGATGGGATTCAGAGAGCTTCCGGTAGCAGGGGGCCATCCTGGCCACAGTGTCCTCTGCTCTGCAGCCGTGCCACCAGTTTTAATCCCTGGACCCTGTTTCCCAGGAGCAGACAGCGAGCAGGTATCTGCGCTCTGCTGCTCTCCTAGGAGTTCGTGGGGGCCAGGCTTAGTTGTGATGGTGTCTGATGGGAAAAGAGAACGGTCAGGCCTGACACCCTGTGCCACTGGGGGCAATCTGGACTCCTGCCCCCAGCTGGCTTGTATTCGAGGGCCCCGGTGCCGAGATTCAGAACCGCTGAGAGGGGATTCTGCCTTCGGAATCCGGCGTGATTTCCTGGGGTCTAGCTTCTGGGCTTCTGGATGTGAGATGTACCTGATAACTGAGACGACTGCTTTCTTCCAGTTTGTGTCCGTGTATTAACTAGTACTCATGGCTGGTTCGGGGAACGTATTTTCACACTTGACTTAGATTCGTCTCCCCGGCCATGGCCCTTCGTACTCAGCCGTGGCCTAGTAAGCGCATCCCAGTCTGAAGTTGTGATTTCCTGCGGCGACCCGCAGAACCTGTCACTTACAAACCCCAGGGGGCGTGGGTGAGGGTGAGCTGCGCTACGCTGGGGCCTGCGAGGGGGCCTGGGGTTCAGGTTGCCCAAGTCCTGGAAAGACCAGTCCTCCTCGAGAGCAAGACAGGGAAAGAACTGTACGGTGGCCTAGGGCGGTGCTTTGAAAAAAACAAAATCTGGATCCAGTTTCTCGTGGAACAGAAACCGAATATCCGTCTCTCTGAGCCTCGCCCTCCAGTGGACACAGAGTGCATATCTTTCAGAAAAGCCTGAAGTTGAAGAACGGACCCAACGACGTGGTCTTCAGCGTCACCACACAGTACCAGGGCACGTGCCGCTGCGAAGGCACCATCTACTTGTGGAACTGGGACGATAAGGTTATCATCTCCGACATCGATGGAACCATCACTAGGTGGGTCCCGCCGACTCGGGGCCGTGGGACCCCGGGGCCTGGAGCCAGCCTGTCAGTTCCTCTTTCCGGGGCATCGTGCAGCTCATGCAGTTCAGTTTCTGGGGCGGTTGGTGCCGCCCGTGGAGCCATAGCTCCTTGATTTAAACAGCTGCAGTGGGGGATTGGGGGTCGCCTCCCTCTGGGGCGGTGGCTCCCTGGCTTTGTTGCTCAGTTTCGGGGTTTCCGTCCAGAGAGCAAGTCGTGCATCCCATTTGCATATTTAATGAAGCATTTATGGTGCGATGAGTCAGAATGACTTTTTTTTTCCCCCCCTTTCGCGATGCCCTTTTACCTTTATTTTTCCTGTCTCTGTTTTTTTTTAGATCAGATACTCTTGGCCACATTTTGCCCACCCTTGGGAAGGATTGGACCCACCAGGGCATCGCCAAGCTGTACCATAAAGTGAGCCAGTAAGTACACAGCCGAAGTACTTGCGGCAATCCGCACGCAGAACCTTTGCCGACGGACTGACTTGCAAAGACGGGTGCCCCTTGACCAGGGAGGGTCCTGAGCGCGTGGTGAAGCCCGCCAACTCCAGATCTGAATTCAGTACCAAAAGGCAAGAAAGGAAGTGGCCGGGGAATTGCAAATTGACAGAGGAGGAAGGCGGTGGCAGCCTTAGGGGAGGGCTTGAGGTTCAGTTCATACTGAGGAATGGCACAGGTAGTCGGGTGAGGACATGGTAGTCTCTGATGTAGACCAAGGGAGTTATTTTAGGCTGAAAAGGTCCAGATTCCAAGCAGGTTTTGTGGGCCAGCCAGCAGTGCACACCTTGCCCACCTGGTCCGGGGAGCGCTCTGCCGAGGGGCCGTACCTGGGACATCAGTGTGGGAGGGAAGATCTTGAGTTGCTCTCGTGTGTCGGGTACATCTGTCACTTCACTTAACTCTTACAGTAGTTCCGAGAAGCAAGTAATATCATTTCTAGGTTCAGAGGGTTAAAACAATTTGTCCAAATTCCCATAGCTGCTAAGAGGCAGAACTCACTGAAGCCCTGGTCAGCCTATAGCTCCAAGTGCAGTGCTTCTGCTCTGGTTCGTCTCCAGGGTTCAGAGCCCTTGGGGTCCCCATCCCTGTACCACCACCAGCAGGTGCTCGGTCCCACTGTGTCCATCTCTCTGTGGACTAGAGTCTCCCACGTAAGTGAAACCTCTCTGTCCTCCAGTTAGTTACAGCCGGGAGGTGCAGACATGGTCTCTGGCCTGCTGGACCTCACATTTTGGGTTGGTGGGGCACGAGGTGCCTGGGAGGACCTTTCCTCCTGGTGGATTCAAAGCTTCTCACTTCTTAGATGCCCAGCTCATTGATTTGACTTTCCTTTTCTGGATGTCTTCCTTAAGAAACGTTAAAAGTAATACATGTTTCTTTGAAAAAAATAAATAGGAAAAACGAGAGAAATATAAAAGTACAAAGGTCACATCTTTCTCCTGCCTTACCGATAAGCTGCAAGTTATCGGCTACGAGTATTATACGTTCTCTACCAGTGGAACCACTGTGACTGGTTTGGTTCCGTGTGTACTGAAAATTCATTTACATGTTCCCCCGCCCCACGTGCACATTATTTAATGAAAGATCCTTCTGTTTCATTATGTGTGAGGTTTACCTCGTTCTTCTTAACTGCAGTACAAAATTCCATGCTGTGGATAAACCATCCTGTATTTAACTAGTCCTCTGTTGGTGAACATGATAGGGCGTTTCCACTTTTTCACTCTTTC